AGAGAGAGAGAGAGAGAGAGAGAGAGAGAGAGAGAGAGAGAGAGCAGGGGAGGTGTAGAGAAAGGGAGAGAGAAAGAATCCCAAGCAGGCTGCATGCTGTCAGCACAGAGCCTAATGTGGGGCTCGAACCCATGAACCGTGAGATCATGACCTGAGCTGAACCAGGTCTGAGCTACCTGGGTGTCCCAAGTTTTAAAATTCTTATTTCCTAATATAGTATAGATTTGGCAAAATCATTATCAAAGAATCAGAAATTAAAGAGAAATATTTACTCTAAGCCTCAAAGTACTAAATGCACTACCTTAAGATAGAACATAAGCTTTTCTTATTATCTAATAGTACTATTATATGCGGTAAGAAGAAAACAGTAATGCTTTCATGTTTTATATAGCTAGTTCCCATATAATAAATGACTATCTGTAAACAACACGTTGCCAAAGCACAGGTGCCTACTCAACACATACATAGGACATCTAACACAAATCCCATCAACATTTCCTAACCTAAACTCCTTATATTTTCCTCCAAATCTGTCTACTGCAAACTTCCCTTGAATGTGTTCGCTCTTTACTACTTTCAAAGATACTCTGGGTTCTGAAATCATATCATTCTTCTTCTGCAATATCCCCCTAACTCCTCTATGATGTATATGTACATGGTGTAAATGTATAATGACATACATGTATCCTTATAATATCATACAAAGTATTTTCCCTGCTCTAAAAATCCTCTGTACTCCACCTATTCAACCCTCCCTTCCCCTAATCCCTGTAACCATTGATGTTTCTATTGTCTTCATAGTTTAATCTTTTCCAGAATGTCATACAGTTGGAATCATACAGTATATAAGCCTCTCCCTTTGGCTTCTTTCGCTTAGTAAAATGCACTTAAATTTCCTCCATGTCTTTTCACAGCTTAACAGCTTATTTCTTTTCAGTGCTAGATAGTATTCCATCGTTTGGATGTACAACAATTTATCCATTCATCTACTGAAGGACATTTTTTTTTGTTTCCTAGTTTTAACAATTATGAATAAAGCTTTCATAAACATCTGTGTGCATGCTTTTGTATGGACATAAATACAATAGCTGGATCATATGGCAAGAGTATGTTTAGGTTTTTTGGTTTTTTTTTAAGTTTATTTACTTTGAGAAGGAGACAGCGGGAGTGGGGTGGGAGAGAGACGGAGGGAGACAGAGAATCCCAAGCAGGCTCTGCACTCTCCATGCAAAGCCCAATGAGGGGCTCAAACCCATGAAACTGTGAGATCATGACCTGAGCCGAAACCAAGAATCACTTAACCAACTGAGACACCCAGGAACCTCGGGTATGTTTAGTTTTGTAAGAAACAACCAAACTATCTTCCAAGGTAGCTATACTACCTTGCATTCCTATTATCAGCGAATGAAAATTCTTGTTGCTCTACATTCTCACTACCATTTGGTGTTGTTAGTATTCTGGATTTTGGTCATTCTAGTAGGCGTGTAATTGTGTACCATAATGAAATCCAATTTATCAATTATTTCTTTCATGGGTCATGCTTTTGGTGTTATATCTAAAAAGTCATCACTATATAAAAGATTATCCAGGTTTCCATCTATGTTATCTTTTGGAATTTTATAGTGTTACATTTTACATTTAGGCTTATGACCCATTTTGAGTTAATATTTTGTATTATAAGGTCTGTGTCTACATTCACGTTTTGCATGTGGATGTTCAGTTGTTTAAGTACCATTTGTTGGAAAGAATTGTCTTTGCTCCATTGTATTGCCTCTTTCCTTTGTCCAAGATCAACTGACTATATTTATGAGCATGTATTTCTGGGCTCTCTATTCTGTTTCATTGATCTATTTGTCTATTCTTTTGACAATACCATACTATCTCGATAACTGTAGCCAGATAGTAAGTCTTCAAGTCAGGAAGAGTCAGTCTTCCAACTTCTGTTCTTCTCCTTCAATACTGTGTTGGCTATTCTGGGTCTTGCATCTCCATACTAACTTTGGAATCAGGAGCCTCCAGCAATTTGTCAATTACAGTTCAGGTTTACGTTCCCCAGCACTGGTTCTTGTAGCGGTTCTGTTTGAGCCACTCTGCTCTGGTAAGCCATGCCTCCCTGTATTTATCTCTCTTCCTCTCCAGTTGGAGAACAGTGATTTGTCTTGTGATCTCTACTGTCTTATGGATCAAAGAAGAGTTGTTGATTTTTCAGTCTGTTCATATTTTTACTTGTTAGGACAGAGTGGTGACTTCTAAGCTCCTTACATGTAGAACCGGAAATTGCCTTGATCTTTACTCCACTGTCTTATTACCAGCTTCTCTTGCTGATCCTGGTCAATAGTACTACTGTCAGATATCCTGCAGTTTAACATTTTGATAACTGACTTGAAAATTTGTCTTTTCTATATAATAATTTTATTTTTATTCAATATTTTTTAATGTAACTTCACCTCTTACATACTTTTTACTTAAAAAAAGAAGTAAAAGTAGTGGAGAAAGGAGGGACAGACTTCCAGCTCCTTGCCAGATGCTTTCCCTTCCTAAGAAACCTTAGTAAAAATCATAGTTGACAAAACACCTCAAGGGGATGAGAACAGGAAAAAGTTATTTTCCCAAGGATCTTGGTATTGGAGAAGCTGGGCATAGTTCCAGCCTCCCCCACTTATCTCTTTTGGCTCCAGTGTAACAAAATATCTTCCCCCAAACACAACTAGCCTGAAGGAGAAAGTTAGTTAACCCTTCGATCATCATGTCTTTAGACCAAGTAGAATACATTGAAATCACGGATCACTCCACTACTAGTGAAACTGCTTTGACATGTTAGGCAAACATTCATTCTCTGAATCTTCCTTACTGGCCATGTATCATGAATTTACTCATCATTCAAATAGAAATTTGAGGGTAAAACTGGTATATAGGTTTTAGCAAAAAAGTTTTATGTCACTTAAGCACTTCTGACTCTACACTCAAATGAATATGGTCCACATATGAAATAATTTCTGAGATCCTGTACTCTGAAGATTATTTTATTAAAAAGTAAAAAAAAAAGTATGTCTGTATCATTATAATTTATATTATAGTAATTAGTTTCATAGGTCATCAAACTAAGTGTTCATGCTTCATTCAAAAAAGGTATAACCATAGATTAGATACTCATGCATATTTTTTTTTAATTTTTTTTTTCAACGTTTATTTATTTTTGGGACAGAGAGAGACAGAGCATGAACGGGGGAGGGGCAGAGAGAGAGGGAGACACAGAATCGGAAACAGGCTCCAGGCTCCGAGCCATCAGTCCAGAGCCTGACGCGGGGCTGGAACTCACGGACCGCGAGATCGTGACCTGGCTGAAGTCGGACGCTTAACCTACTGCGCCACCCAGGCGCCCCGATACTCATGCACATTAAAACACAGTTAATACAAATTTCAAGTTTCTTACAAAGCAGTATAATTAAAACAATATGTCACTGGCATAAAAATAGACACAGAAATCAATAGAATAAAAACCCAGAAATGAACCACAATTATGTGGTTAATTAATTAGGAATGAATATACAATAGGAAGAAGTCTCTGTAACAAATGTTGTTGGGAAAACTAGAGAGCAGCAAGAGAAAGAATGAAACTGGACCATTTTCTTTCACCATACTTAAAAAAACTCAAAAAGGGTTAACAACCTAAATGTAAAACCTAAAACCATAAAAATCCTTGAAGAGAGCACAGGCAGTTATTTCTTTGACACTGGCCATAGCAACTTTTTTTCTAGATATGTCTCCTGAGAAAAAGGAAATAAAAGCAAAAACAAACTATTGGGAAAACATCAAAATAAAAATTTTCTACAGAGTGAAGGAAAACAATCACTAAAACTAAAAGGTAACCTACCAAATGAGAAATGATATTTGCAAATGGCATATCTGATAAAGGTCTAGTATCCAAAATATATAAAAAACAGATACAAATCAACACGCAAAAAGCAAATAATCCATTTAAAAAATGGACAGAAGACATTAACAGACATTTCTCCAAAGAAGACATCTAGATGGCCAAGAGGCACATGAAAAGGGCTCAACATCACTCATCATCAGGGAAATTCAAATCAACACTACAATGAGATCATACCTGTCAGAATGGTTAAATCAAAAACATAAGAAACAATAAATGGTGGCAAGGATGTGGAGAAAAGGAACCCTTGTGCACTGTTGGTGGGAATGAAAACTGGTGCAGCCACTCTGGAAAATAGTATGGAGGTTCCTCAAAAATTAAAAATAGAACTACTCTATGATCCAATAATGGCACCAGTAGATATTTACTCCCAAATTTCAAAAACATTTATTCAAAGGAATATAACGCTCCCCTATGTTTATTGCACATTAATTCCAACAGCCATACTATAGAAGAAGCCCAAGTGTCCATCAATTGATGAATAAATAAATAAGAGGTGATATAAATACAATGGAATATTATTCAGCCATAAAAAAAGCCATTTGCAACAACATGAATGGAGTCAGAGATTAAAATACTAAGTGAAAGAAGTTAGAGAAAGACAAATATCATATGATTTCACTTATGTGTGGAATTTAAGAAATAAAATAAATGTGCAAAGGAGAAAAAACATATATATATAGAGAGAGAGAGAGAGAGAGAGAGAGAGAGACAATAAACTGTTACCAGAGGGATGGTGGGGAGAGATAGGTGAAATAGGTGATGAGGATTAAAGGGAACACTTATTATGACACAAAAAATGAAACAAAACAAAAGAATTTTTAAGAACACAGTTAATACTAATTCCCATACTTTAAATTTTCTTCCTTTTCCTCTCTGCGTGGTGCTTTGAGTTGAAAACAAACAACCTCTCACTCTAGCATATTTTTACTTATGCCAAACTTCTATTTTAGAGAGGATGGGGTTGAGGAGGTCCTCTGACCTACCAACATTTTTAACATTAACACCCCAAATATTTATGCACAAAAACATGAGAATCCACAATTTCAGTTGTTGTTTTGCTTACCTACTAGATTTCTGGTCTAGTGCTTCTCAGTTTCAATCTGTTGGAAACTTTCAGGCATCTCTACTTCGTTGGTTAAAGTCAATAGAGTCTAGAATCCAAAAGGAGAAATAAGAACTTTATCATTTGGGTGACAATTTATTTTTAATCCAGCATGTAATTCTGTCACAAATCACGGGAAATAATGGTCATATTCTTTTGAAACAATCTTTCATCACTGGTAAATATTTACAAGCTCTTTGTTTAGAATGATCTGGGTGCAATCTTAGCCATCTAGTATCATTTTCTTTCCCAAGTTTTGTTGCTGCTGCTGTTCCTAATTATTTCAAATCAAACTAATATTCAGATTCTAAGCCTTTGTGCTAATCTATATTCTGACACCAACCTTTGAGGTCGATGGCAAGATTGATGGAAAGATGTCAACTGACAAAGATAAATGATACACATCTTCTTAAATGGAAAAGTAACTGAAAAATTACCAAGACAACTATAAAAATAAGGAACCATGAAGCATCTTTCTAAGTCCTCAGTTTCCTATGAGAACATAGGTCTGCGGAAGATTCTTCCAGCCATAAGAAACTTGCCTTGCCATTATAAAAATAAATCTATCTTGGTTACTCTTCTGGAGAACTTGGCTACCTACTGGTATAAGTAACAAATACAAATAATTTCATTTCATTTTATGAACTTTTTTGGACGCTGAATGAATTTGAATTATCAGTCTGCAAGGTAATCCAAGGATTTATATATGCTTGAGTTAAGTTACTTGCTTGGGCATCCACAAGTGAGGTAAAACCTGGATTCAAAACGAGGTCACTCTCCTTACTCTACTATACTGCCTGTACATTGTCACAGACTCCTACAGAACTGATTTCAGTTCATTAAGCTTTGAAGTTTTAGCTCAAATTATACTGATAGAGGAATAAAAGCAGATGCAGACATACTATTCCTTTAATAAAAGTCCATGACACAAATACTTTAAAATATAGGTATTTAAAATCCTTGTCTCTCCTTACCACATCATTTTCTCATGGACAAAGAAAATTATGCAACTAGTCACATTTTCTTATTTTGTTTTGGCTATCAGGAGATTCAAAGTCAAATTGGGGAACACAGTTTGTAATGCATAGGAAATTTGCCCTCATTTCATTTACATTTTCCTTGAAGCTGCAACATAACATTCTTTATTTAGTGCTGTTTCACAGGGGGAAAAAAAAAAACAATAACTATTATGTGGATAATCATAGTACAATAACTTATAATAATTGATTTTATTCTAACTCTTTTACATACAACATCTTATTTAATCCTCACATTTTCCTTCTGAGATGTAAACCATTATTTTCCCAGTCAGTGGAAATAAAGAGATTTGAGGGCAACTTTATTTAAGGCTGTGACATAGAAGCTGTATCTAACTGGACATAATGTAGCCATATAAAGATCAGCCAGGCATATGGATTGAGGATAAGTAGAATTTTTTTGTATTGTTTAAATTCATATTTGTTTATTTATTAATTTGTATTTAAATATGAAACACTTTGGCCTGAATTATCCAGTTAAACTATTTACATTGATCATATAAACTAGTAAGTATTGCCATATCCCTCAAGTTATTTCTATATATAAAGATTAAGTTATACTCTATTAATGTTTATTGAAAAATATGCAATTATATAAGGCAAATGATTTAAAATTGCTGGAACACATTACAAATTGTCTGAAGAATATTCTATATTTAATTTAAAATACTTTCATTATGACCCATGCCCTTTTACTATGATTTTAGTTTACTTTCCTATAAAAAAACACATATGTGTCATTTATTATTAATATTTTATATTGAGTATGATTTATTACATTCTCTTTTATTGGGTACATGTCAAGCACATCAGATTTTAATGCATTGGCTATCCTGAGCCATGGCACATAATTTAATTTTTATTCCACTAGTCATAAGTTTGGCAATATATTTGTGTCATGAAACTGTTTTCAATAAATATACTGAAATTAATTTGTATTGACATCAGTATTTAAGAGCAGTTGTGAAATATCTTATAACTGTAGATCCATAACTAACAAAATTCAAAACCACTCTGCTTTGACAATTTTTCCTTATTGGCAGTTTCTATAAACCAAATATTTATTGGGTACAAGGATTTCTTTTTTATTTTTTGTGTTCTATTATCATCTTAACTTGAAGACTGATATAAAAACAGCAGGAACTCCAGCCTCCTTCCACAAGATAATTAGAGACTGAAGGCTCCTGAGAAGACGGACCAACTTGGCCAAATCTGTCTCAGCATATTCAACCAGGTTGAGGATGGGGATTGAGGTAATTTTTGCAAAAGAAAAAATCGTTTAGCCTTGTTTTGGGAAATATATGAAGATAGTATACCCAATTGATAACTTTAAATGGTATTTCTTTTTTTTAGTAGTATTGAGTTTGAAAATAAAAATCATCTCTTTTTCTCTTTGTCGTTTATCACGCGTTTTTTCTGTAACTGGAAGTCTAGAGTCTTAGAATTGATTTAAATCAATTTTCTGTTGTGTAACTAAGTAAATGCAATTTGAAGGACATTAAATTACTTGGTTGAGAACGTGCACTACTTAGTGAAGAACATGTCTATGTATTAATTTAACAATAGTTTTAAACACCTATACACCAGAACCCGGCATGGGTATTGGAGGTAGTGTGGTAAAGGAAATAGTCTCTGCCTTTGTGAAGCTTCCAGTTTAGACAGGAAAAAAGAAACAACAATTAAATACTCTGGGATAAAGTTACACGGCGTTATTAGTAGTATGGAGAAAATAAACACGTAACTACTACTCCTAGAGCGGGTGACCTCAGCCAGCTTGCAAGATCAGGCAAAGCTTCTGTGAGAAAATGGCCTCTTACCTAAGATATGGATAAGGAAGAGATCTTAACTACCAATTACTGATTTGGTGGTGCGTTTTTGTTAGGTTTTAACGTTGCAGACTCGCTGTAGTGCTCTTCCTTCCATCTATCCTTATTTCTCAGTAGGATGTAAGTAAAATATTATTGTAAAACCAAAATATGGTGTAGAAAATAATATCAAATGCTGGCAATGATGTAAGAAACTGGATCACTCATAAATTGCTAGTGGGAACGGATTGTAAAATGATACAGCCACACCAGAGAACATTTAGCCAGATTCTTATAAAACTATTCACTAACCATATGATCCGGAAATTGCACTCTTGGGAATTTAGTTTATAGAATATGAATTCTCCTAGCAGCTTTATTAACAGCCCCAAACTGGAAATAGCCCAGATGTCCTTTAACAGGTGAATAATTAAGCAAACTATGATACGCTTACACCAATGTGATACTCCACACTAATAAGACAGAACACACTATTGAAATCTACATACATACTGAGTAAACCTAGCATCAAGATTTTAGTTTCTAATACCATTCTCCAATAAGAGGAAGCAGGGCTCTTTAAATAAATGGCCAATTCTGCGACTGATGAAGTAAGTATAAAAGATGAGCCTCAAATATCTTGTATTGCCAGCAAATAAGGAATCAACAACAATAAGGAAGAAAATACACACACACAATAATGGAGTTATATGAAAAAGACACAAGAGCCAACCAAAGGAGGTCCCAATGACCCAAGCTGAAACAATTTAAACAAAATCAAACATTGTTGGAATATAAGGCATGAAACAAGTACCCATGAGTTTATAGTAAATAAGAAAATGAAAAAATAAAGGGGGAAGAAGAGACAAATCTCCAAAGAAAAAGCCTGTATAATTTATAACACACTTTCTCATCAAGGAGGTGGAGCATATTTCTCACTTCTTAAGGGTGGACTACACACAGTGACTTCCCAAGAATACTGTTTGGAAAGTGAAAAAAAAAAAAAAGAAAGAAAGAAAGAAAGCCAGCTTTTCAGTGAAGAAACCTGACAAATACTATCTCAAATGATTAAGGTTAATATCAGCAGTGATAAGTCATATTGATAGCATGAACCCCTGATAAGATGTGATGAAAATGGTACTTTACCTTTGTGATCTTCCCACCAGAACTCATAAATCCAGTCTGCTCATGAGAACAAAACAAAACAAAACCCAAAAAACATCAGGGGCGCCTGGGTGGCTCAGTCAGTTGAGCATCTGACTTATGCTCAGGTCATGATCTCACAGCTCGTGGGGTTGAGTCCTGCATCGGGCTCTGTGCTGACAGCTCAGAGCCTGGAGCCTGCCTCTGATTCTGTGTCTCCCTCTCTCTCTGCCCCACCCCACTCATGCTCTGTGTCTCTTTCTCTCTCTCAAAAATAAATACACATTAAAAAAAATCAGACAAATCCAACTGAGGGACATTCTTCAAAATACCTGAACAGTACTCCTCAAAACTGCCAAGGTTATCAAAAAAAATTTCTGAGAAACTGTCACAGCCAAGAGGATATTAAGGAGAATTGACAACTAAATGTAATGTGGTATTCTGGATAGAATCCTGGAACAGAAAAGGTGGATGATATTTATGTAAATACTGAGGAAATATGAAAGAGCTTCTACTTTAATGATAATGCATCAATATTATTTCATTAATTGTAATGATTGTGCTATATTAATATAAGGTGTAAGGTGTTAATAATAGGGGAAACTGGGTGCAGGTACATCAGGACCCCCTGAACCATCTTCATAACTCCCCTGTAAATCTCAAGTATCCTAAAAAATTAAAAAGTTTATTCTCAAAAAACAATAAAGAAAAAAATTTAAAGCTTGCACACATTCAACTTATGTAATATCCTTCAAATGATAATATTTTAAAAATGGAGAATAGTTAATGGTTGTCAGAAATTATAAAGGAAGGAGGAAGAGAGGTAACTGTGGCCACAGAAGGGTATAATAAGCGATCCTTGTGATGGAATTGTTCTGTGTGTTGGCTATGGCCTATGACTATAGTCATGTGATTCTATACATAAGATTGTGTAGAAATATACACAGACATGGGGCACTTGGGGGGCTCAGTCGGTTAAGGGTCTTACTCTGGATTTCAGTTCAGGTCATGATCTACCAGTTCGTGGGATGGGGCTCCGGGTCTGGCTCTGCATTGACAGCATGGAGCCTGCT